GACCCTGTTTACTTGGTGCCAATTGCACTGATCTTGTAGCTGATTTCAGTTGTAACTGTCCGCCTGGATTTACCGGCAAACGTTGTCACGAGAAGATTGATCTTTGTTCTGGAAATCCTTGCCTTAATGGCATATGTGTTGACAAATTGTTCAGCCATGAATGTATCTGTCATCCAGGTTGGACCGGTGTTGCTTGTGAAATTAACATCAATGAATGTTCTAGTAAACCATGTCGTAACAACGGACAGTGTCTCGATCAAATCGATGGCTATACTTGTACTTGCGAGCCAGGATACACTGGCAAGCAATGTCAACATACAATAGATGATTGTGCTTCAGATCCGTGCCAGAATGGTGCCACGTGTGTCGATCAACTAGAAGGTTTCCTTTGCAAATGTAGACCTGGTTTCGTCGGACTTCAATGTGAAGCAGAAATCGATGAATGCCAAAGTGATCCATGCAATCCTGTTGGCACAGATCGTTGTGTAGATCTAGACAACACTTTTGTTTGTCACTGTCGTGAGGGCTACACTGGATCAGGCTGTGAAATCAACATCAACGACTGTGCTTCCGATCCATGCCTAAACGGTGCTACTTGCAGAGACGAAGTTTCGGGTTTCAAGTGTATGTGTCCTGAAGGTTGGACCGGAGTTCATTGCGAAATCGATGTCGGCATGTGTCAAAATCATCCGTGTCAAAACGATGCAGCTTGCGTCGATCTTTTCTTGGATTACTTCTGCGTGTAAGTCTAATTTGGACAGATCGAAATGAACAGTGTTCAAATTCGAATTCATAATATCGTTTATTTGTATTTTTTTGACAGTTGTCCTTCTGGAACCGATGGTAAACAATGTGAAACTGCACCTGAACGTTGTATAGGTAATCCTTGCATGCATCATGGACGTTGTCAAGATTTTGGTTCCGGGCTTAATTGCACTTGTCCTGATGACTATACTGGTATTGGTTGTCAATATGAATACGATGCTTGCCAAGCTGGCGCATGTAAAAATGGAGCCACTTGTATTGATGATGGTCCTGGTTTTACTTGCATTTGCCCACCAGGCTATACTGGTAATAGGATATCCTTAATATTAATTGCATTTAAACATTTTGGTGACATAAATCAAACATTGTTTTAAATCACAGGTAAAACATGCGAAGATGATATTATTGATTGCAAAGACAATTCATGTCCACCCTCTGCAACATGTATTGATTTAACTGGAAAGTTTTTCTGTCAATGTCCATTTAATTTAACAGGAGATGATTGTAGGAAATGTAAGTGGTGTAAATTTTATACGCTAAAGAAACTAATATCTTTCTTTTATCGTTACCCATATTATAAAAATGAAATCTTTCAGCTATTCAAGTTGATTATGATTTATACTTTGGTGATCCGGCACGTAGCAGTGCATCACAAATTATTCCATTCTTTACTGGCACTAGAAAGAGTTTGACCGTAGCTATGTGGGTGCAATTTACACAAAAAGATGAGGCTGGAACTTTCTTCACACTTTATGCCGTAAGGTAAGGTCTTTCAACAGTGTTTAATATGTAGAAGTTAATAAATTAAATTTAATTAATATGTAGAAGTTAAACATTAATTATTCTACAATATAACTTTTGTAATTCTAGTTCACCGCATGTACCAACAAATCGCCGACCGATGGTACAAGCACACAGTAACGGTGTCCAAGTATCTCTCTTCCATGATTTACAAGATGTTTATCTACCATTCAGAGAATATGCAACTATCAATGATGGCCAGTGGCATCATGTTGCTGTTGTATGGAACGGAGAAAACGGTGGTGAACTCGTATTAATCACGGAAGGCTTAATTGCTAGCAAAACGGATGGATATGGAAGTGGTAGATCTCTTCCAGCATAGTAAGTAATTTATAAAATTTTTTACTCGCATAATACGATTTTAATGATCAGTTGATTTTTAATATTATTTTAATATTTAATATTATCAGTGCCTGGGCAGTATTGGGTAAACCTCAAAGTGAAAATCCGAAAGGCTATACTGAATCTGGTTTCCAAGGTCACCTGACAAAAGTTCAAATCTGGAATCGTGCACTTCATGTAACGAATGAGATACAGAAACAAGTTAGAGATTGTAGAACCGAGCCAGTTCTTTATCAAGGACTAGTTTTGACCTGGGCTGGATATGATGAAACGGTTGGAGGTGTAGAACGTGTAGTTCCATCACATTGTGGACAAAGAGTATGCCCACCTGGTTATGGTGGTAATAAATGTCAACAATTGGAAGCTGATAAAATTCCACCCAAAGTGGAACACTGTCCCGGTGATTTATGGGTTATTGCTAAAAATGGTTCTTCTATTGTCACTTGGGATGAACCTCGTTTCAGTGACAACGTTGGTATAGTTAAAGTTCAAGAGCGAAGTGGTCATAGATCCGGACAAACTTTATTATGGGGTACTTACGATATTAGTTACGTGGCTTATGATCAAGCTGGAAACTCTGCAAGTTGTAATTTCAAAGTCTATGTATTATGTAAGTTTTCTAACTATTTTCAAATGTTCCTTAGTATTTTTGTACCTGTATCTTGTTTCTTTTTTTTTGTTTTTTTTGAATAGCCGATTTCTGTCCTGAACTTGCTGATCCCATCGGAGGAGTACAACAATGCAAAGATTGGGGTTCTGGCGGTCAATTCAAAGTTTGCGAAATTTCATGTAATCAAGGACTACGATTTTCTCAAGAGGTTCCTAAATTTTATACTTGTGGCGCTGAAGGATTCTGGAGACCTACAAATGATCCTAATTTACCATTGATTTATCCTGCTTGCACAAGTAAGTCTTATGTTTCTATTACAATGCTAAAGTTATCAAATTATATTTTCTTTTTTTATATATTTTATAATATTATTATAATATTTAAGGTTCGATACCAGCACAACGTGTATTCAGAATTAAGATGAACTTCCCTACGTCAGTTCTATGTAACGAGGCTGGTCAAGGTGTTCTCAAACAAAAGGTCCGAAATGCTGTAAACTCTCTTAACAGAGATTGGAACTTCTGTTCTTATTCTTATGAAGGTAATGCAATATTTATAATGATTTCAATGAATATAAATATATTGTCTAGTAAGTATAAATGTATAATCTAATAAGTTCGTGCCGTTTCTCAGCTCGTATATACATACATACGTACATTATGTATCGAAGTACATCAGTACATATATAACAATACTATTTATTAATTTCGTGCATGTATTTAAAAACATTTAATCAAGTTTTTATTATTACGTTTTTTATCTTTTTTAATTCAATCCAATATTTTTTCAGATTGTTGAAAAACATATAACATTGATAATAACTTTTAGGTACACGCGAGTGTAAGGATTTGAACATCGATGTTCAATGTGATCATCGCATACGAACAACGAGAGAAGCAAACGAGGAAGATGGTGGAATGTACATTATTTCAGCGGTCGTACCAGCAGAACCGTAAGTTGAAAAACATCTAATATATTTTCATTCATCTTTATAAAATTTCAAATTTGGGGAAACGTATGAGCTTAGAAATCTGTTTAGAAATATTCGAGGTATGAATAAACATATCGCATATTTTCAACATTCATAAACCGTAGGCTCGGTCTTTCTCTTTCTCTCACTTTCTCTTTCTCTCTCTCTCTCTCTCTCTCTCTCTCTCTCTCTCTCTCTCTCTCTCTCTCTTTCTCTCTCTTTGTCTATCTTTTTCTAAACCCGAGTGTAGATCTAGATGAATTAGTACTGAGCATTTATTACTTGTTACATCATAGAACGAGACAGGCGCGCCAAGGCAGCGATACCTACGAGGTGGAGATCTCGTTCCCGGCGATAAAGTAAGGACAGCTCGATTCGTGTGAATATATGCGAATTGTGTCATACAATGAACAATGCCAACCAACACGATATCATCCCTAATAATACGCCCTCATTCTAAAAAAACGAAACAAAAACAAAAAAAAACAAATTATTACCGATTCATTTACATACACATAGCGATTTAACACGGTGCATGATCGAGTTACCAAGGATGAAGGATTATAAATATAGATAAAGGCAAAAAATAGCATAAAACCGGGTTTGCACGTTGTTACTAACTGACCTATAGCAGAACTATTGTTTTCCCCGAGGTAGAATCACATTACGCTAAAAATGAAATTTAATATTAGTATAATAATGATATAACCCGATATCTCTAACAAATGACTTTTATATAATCCAAGGTTGAACCTACTACATTAGATGAATTAATTTCTATAACGTTACGTAATCTACCTATATAATAAATAATCGTCTGATTTTTGATATTTGATAATTGATAGATATATTTAATTAACAGCTAATTTATATTATTTTACAATAACATTTATAATATGATTGCATGATAACAAATGAAAATAGAAAAAAATATGTTTCATTCAATACTGTAATATTATGGTTTCTATGAATCGATTAATACTAAAAATGTTTTCTTAATAGGTGATATAGATAGATGGTATTATAATTAGTTTCATTTTTTCTCCTTCCCCTTTTGCCATTAATAACAGGCAAATCTGCACCAAAATATCGCGTTATTTCTAATACATAATAGGATAATATGAACACGTACATATGTATTTTACAACTATAAATTTATACAAATTTCAGAATGTCATCGAGTTTCTAATTACATGTAGGATAATTGTAATTAATTGTCACTAATGGCAGGTTAGCTTGAGGCACGCTTACCCGTGAAATGAGTTTAACCTTGTCCAACGAACGATCGCCTGAAAACAATAACGGCTGTATATATTGGCGCATACATATATCCTATGCCTGTTGCTACCGTTTGTGTGACTTTACTCGAATTACGGTTTCAATCAATAACGTTCCACTCCTTTTTTTATAGCGATCCTATTCTGAATGCCAATTCTAACGAACGAGCGACGGTACAGTCCTTACTCGAAAGACTGATACTCGAGGAAGATCAATTTGATGTACACGACATTTTACCAAACACTGTACCAGATCCAGCATCTTTAACATTGAAATCAGATTATGCTTGCCCTATCGGTCAAGTTGTAATGGCTCCTGATTGTGGTAAGAACCTATCTTAAATAAAATTAGAATACTTCCTTCTATAATGATCACCCTAAGAAATTAAAAAATTTTTTAACACTTTTTATAACGATCCATCACTTCGAAATATATTCAATAAAAATACATTTTATACAGTACCATGTGCTGTGGGTACATATTATGATGAAGAGACCCAACGTTGTATCTCCTGTCCTGTGGGCACTTATCAAAGTGAATCAGGTCGAACGAAATGCAGCTCATGTCCCGTGATTGCTGGTCGACCTAGCGTGACGGTTGGAGTCGGTGCACGAAGTGCTGCTGATTGCAAAGAACGATGTCCAGCAGGAAAGTATTACGACGATGCAGCTGGTTTGTGTCGTAGTTGTGGACACGGATTTTATCAACCAAACGAGGGTAGTTTCTCCTGCTTGCTATGTGGTCTTGGAAAAACAACTAGAACAGCGGAAGCTGTGTCTCGCGAAGAATGTAGAGACGAATGCGGTTCTGGACAACAGCTCGCCGTTGAAGGCAAATGTGAACCATGTCCAAGAGGTACTTATCGTACTCAAGGTGTTCAAGCATCCTGCCAAGCTTGTCCAGTAGGTAGGACAACGCCCAATGTAGGATCGGCAGCTATCGAAGAGTGTTCTTTACCAGTTTGTGAACCCGGTACTCATTTGAATGGTACACTTAACGAATGTATGCAATGTAAAAAGGGCACTTATCAGTCGGAACCTCAACAGACTTTCTGTATACCTTGTCCACCCAATACCAGTACCAAAGGACCAGCTGCAGTAAGTATTAGTTTAATATATCCCTATATTACTTAAAGCGTACTTATGCTAACCAATTAACCACTGGCAATAAGTGGTTCAGATCATCTTTTTTTGTTTATTATGTTTTAGATTATTTATCATAAACTAATATTTCTAAATATACCACGAATTAAAACTACTCTATAAATCCATTTATAATTAACAAAAACAAAATCATATTCTTACCTTAACGTTTAACATTTGTTCTTACAGACCAGCAAATCCGATTGCACCAATCCATGCGAAACAAGCGGCGAAGAAATGCATTGCGACGCAAATGCCTATTGTTTACTTATACCAGAGACAAGTGACTTCAAGTGCGAATGTAAACCAGGATACAACGGTACTGGAACGGAGTGTACAGACGTTTGCATGGGCTATTGCGACAACGAGGGTGTATGTCTGAAGGATTCCAGAGGACAACCATCCTGCAGGTGTAGTGGCAGTTTCACAGGCAAACATTGTACTGAGAAGTCTGAGTTCTTCTATATTACTGGTGGTATCGCAGGAGGAGTTATTCTCATCATTTTTGTTGTTCTTTTGGTCTGGATGATTTGCGTTAGGTCAGTCTATAAAATAAGAATACGTAATATATAACAAACAACAAATTTCAGTATTACGATTGTCATCTTACAAAAGAATACTTTTATAGAGCATCTCGTAAAAAGGAGCCTAAAAAAATGCTCACTCCAGCGACCGATCAAAATGGTTCTCAAGTAAACTTCTATTATGGAGCTCCTACGCCTTACGCCGAGTCCATAGCACCGTCTCATCACAGCACATACGCTCATTATTATGACGACGAGGAAGACGGCTGGGAAATGCCGAATTTTTATAATGAAACTTATATGAAAGGTCAGTATGTATTACGTGTGTGTATTATTACGTATTTACGTTCACGTATTAAGTGGCAAAGATCAAAGCAACAAATCATTCGAATGAATATATTTCTAATGTTTTTCTGTTTTACTTGCAGAAAGTCTACACAATGGAGGAAAGATGAACAGTCTTGCACGTTCAAACGCGAGTATATACGGCACGAAGGACGATCTCTACGATAGGCTGAAGCGTCACGCGTATCCCGGGAAGAAAGGTACAAGTTTGAATGCAGATACACATTGAACCAAATTTGAAATAAAAGGACATCAGGGGTTCGTTGATCAGCATATATATATATATATATAAATATAAAAAAACATATATATATATAAAATAAAAAAAAAAACGGGCGATCGACCACTTTACTTTTGTCACTAATAATTAGGGTTAAAAAGCCGAGATATTGCGACGTTTGTATTACTAGAAAAAAGGATCATTCCTCTCATCCTACCGCATCGAAGCTTGAAAATCTACTACGCAATGTAACTCGGCCGATCGAGAGATATTTGCCATGTTTACGTTAGTGACGAAGGAACATTTATTTTCCAGACAAGAGTGATAGTGACAGCGAAGGTCAGTGAGTCGTCGTCCCTGTCCCACGGTGAGAGAGAAAGAAAGAAAGAAAGAGAGAGAGAGAGAGAAAGAAAGAGAGAGAGAGAGAAAAGAAAGAAAAAGAATGAAGTTTAAGCAAAGCCCGAGTATGCAGAAAAGAAGAAGGGAGAACTTTCAAGAGGAAAAGTTACTCAGTCGATATGGGTCACATTATTTATTACCTCCCTATATAAGTAAAGAAAAGAAATGAAAACAAAACAAAAAAACAGGAAAAAGAAAAGAACGATCATCTACAACGTGTCTCACAAGATCCTATGGTATCCGTAGTCCTCCATGAAAGAAGAAAGGTTGCGATTCTGCTTTCTTCGGATCACGTGACTCACTTGGATGAGACGACCAGTGTCTACAATACGCAAAATGGATGGATGCCCATTAATCGATAGAAAAAAGTGAAATAATTCAGTCCTGAAATGACGATCGATAAAACGATTGTTGTTTCGGCACAAAACCATCGATTAATCATTGTTAATCTCGCGTTTATGAGATCGATCGAAAACGTAATTTTTTTTTTCTTCACGGTTCCGATCGATAATATAATATATGATTATATATACACATATATATATGTATATATATATACATATATATATATACACATATGTATATATATGTATATATATATATATATATATATATATATATATTATACGTGCGAGATTCGAACAAATCGCGCGCGTAAAAATGCACGAGATAATGAGAGGAAAAAAAAACAAAGAGACTACGAAACGAGATTGTAATTTTTGTAATTTAATACCAAGTAGATAATAAGCATCACAAACGCGCGGATACACTTACAGACACATTCTTGATTAACTCCTACGAGTAATGGTGCGAACAAGAGTGTGTTTGTATGTTAAACGTCATTATATAAATAAGTGAATTTATATTTTGTTACTATAAATATGTATCACGTTGTAATATAATAGATACGTAAGCGTTCTAGCATATATCTATTAATCGAAAATGCTCTAACGTGTAATATGTATATCGAAGACGAGTCGACGAGAAGAGTTTTTCTTTTTCCATTTTGTTTTTTTTCTTTTTTTTTTTTTGTTTCTTTCGATTTTAATATACTTATCACTTAAAGCTTTGTATACATCGTTCATTGTACATGCATGCATACATATATAGAATATAATACGATAAGAACGATCGATAAACGTAATCAATAATGAGAACGAGATGTCAGTCGTTCTATCTTGAATCGTTTCTCGAGTCCATTGACCCGATAAGATTATAAGAATTTGCATAAAATATTGCCCTTTCTTCGCTAGTATATATATATATATATATATATATATATATATATATATATATATACTATATGATAACAAAAGAGAAGAACAAAACAAAACTTTCAAGTTGATGGAGAACGAGCAGCGAAGTCATGCAATTGAATGGAACGATATCCAATAATTGCGCACGAAGTTCTTTACATCAATAAAAGATATATATGTACATACATAACATACAAATACATATACATAAGTATATAGTAAATGGACTTCATTCTTATAATTTCGTTTGGTTCGATCGTGAAATTCGTAAATATTATTATCTATAAAAAAAAAAGAAGAAAAAAAAAAGAAATGAAAAAGAAAGAATGAACCGTAATGTACATTGAACGATGTCTATGACGCCACTTTTTATTTTTACCTTGTTAAAACTCTTTAACAGATAATTGTTTTCCCTTTTTTCCTTTTTTTTTTTTTATTAATAAAATATATTTCATTAAAGATAGTCAATTATAATAACGCACATGTGTCTAGGAAGATTATTATACAACGTCGTGGTACAAAGGTGAGTATCGATGTTACGGTAAATTTCCTAAGTAGCATGAGGAAAGAGCCAAAAATAGTACTTTGATATTTAGAATAATTTTCCGTTCATTTTCATAGGTATTACCCGATACATTTTTTCTTTGAAGACAAAGCTCTTTTGTTTCTTCTCTTTACCGGTACCAGATAGAAGACATTTTTTGATACAATCCGACAAATTTTGTACTGGTGTTGTACTCTGACAAAACTTGTTCGTATCTATAGAGACGAAATCGTTATCCTCCTCTTCATCATCCATAACGGAATCAAGATCGCTCGTGTCGCAATTTATTTGCATATTTTCTGCATCATGGATGTTTTCATCTGAATCACTGGCGACAGATTCCGCCAGACTGTTTATTGCTAACAATAGAAATATAACGTATTCGATGCATACTAAATTAACGGAAACGTCATAACCAGTGCCGGATTAAGCCGTACAAGCAATGGAGGCAGTTGGCTCAGACACTGTAAAAAAGTAATCTCCAACACAATATAAATTTATATTATATAATAAATTTAATTTAATATTTAATTGATTATAAATTAATATCCCTTTGTTCAATTAAATATCCCTTTTGTTAGAAGCGATAGAAAATAAAAAATATACAAAATTTCGTGATCTTGTGGATAAAATATTTTAAGAATACGAAGTGCAATACCTAATGATAATGATTTTTAATTTTTTTTATGGTATACTATATATTCTTTTAATTAATTAGATATCATAATTAATTATTAAAAAAAAAATATTAAACAATTATATGATTAAAGTTAATACATAATTAAGTAGGTATTAACGTCTACAATTATATGACAAATAAATACATATCAAATGTAAACAATTTTAAGAGGCCATAAAAAATGAAAAACATATAAAACAATCTTACAATAAGTTTAGTTACAAAAGTTGTTAATTGAAAACAATAACTTTACAATTGATGTATAATAATAAAAAAAACTTACTTAATTTAATAAATGTTCAAAGTGTTCACTACTTTCTTGTGAATCTTGCAATACTTTTTGGTACATTTTATAACATTTCAGATGTTACTTGATTAACATATTTCATAATTTCTGCTAGCAATATTTCTGAATTTCACTTTCACTAAAATAAACATTACTATCTCTATTTACATAACGTACTTAACACGTTAATATATGATTAATTTTATATATATATATATATATATATATATATATACGTATATATATATATATATATATACGTTAATATATCTATAACTTTGAGCGTATACTTCTTTAATAATTTTTTTTTAAATAATTGTTTAGAATATCTAATTAATTAAATTAATTAAAAATCAATCTTAATTTATAATCAACCTACCCAGTATATGTATTGTTTCATCATTTGCATGAATATTTGAGAATATATATTATCCTTAATTGATTTATTTTAATAGAAATCAAAAAATTTTTGCAACGCATCGGGCCTCTTAAAGACTAAATCCGCCACTGGTCATAAGTCAATTTTCACGAACACACGTAGGTGTATGTGTGTTTATATAATCACATACTAATACATATAACTATGATTCTTGGAAAAAATGGTACTCGAATTCACGAAAAGATATATCTATATATATATATATAAACGTATATATATATATATATATATATAAATACATATATAAATACGATCGATAAGTTTTCAGTCCTACGAAATATACATCATTGATAAGATTACTATAATACTTTCACGTTAAAATTAGAAAAAAAAAAAATAATGATAAGGAAAATAATCGTATATAAATAGTATATACTCTTTATGAAATGATTATAATTATATAAATCATTTTTCTTTATAATAATTATATAAAGATAAACCAAATTATTATCCAATAGTTCTTTCACTAATTTGATTACAAATAAATAGTATTATAACTTGATAATAACTTCAGTAAATATAACATAGGTTATCGTAAACAAGAAGCGATCTATATACTGACACTTTTTTTTATAATTACCTTATATAATACGTACCAATTTTATCTTTAACGGCAGATAATATTTTCAGAATGCTTAGATCATTTGGGTTCTGTTTTAAAACTAAGCATAACAAAATTTCAAGTATATTAGATAATATACAATTATCAATATAATTATCAATAATGATCATTCATTATCCATTATCTCTTATTAAGTTACGAAATTTACAGGTTATGTACGTATGAATAAATCTCACCTGAAGATCCTACTTCAATAGCATCATCATAATTTTCAGTCATAATAGCAAGAAGAAACTACAATTATATGTATATTTATATATATCGAATAAATGTTTTATTTTTTAATCATAATCAACGATCATTGGAACAGATTTAATCGATATGTGAGTCATCGAGATAATTTGTTCCTTTTACATTTTTTCTCTCAGATCGTTCAACCTAGTCTTTTCGATTACTAATATTTTCACATACCTTTAATCGATCTTCATAGTTTATACAATTCTTTTTACTCATCTTTAATAATCCTCAATAAACTAACGTCTTCATATTCGATTACGAAAGAGTATGTTACATCTTTGAAAATACATTTTAAAATAATTTTAATTGATCGATGAGTATCATAATTCAATGTTAGTTAACATTTATTTTTAATTTTACCAAAAAGAAATCATTTTGTAGATTTTCATTTGTTATTTTGCTGTAAAGTTGAACTACGTAGTACTTTTACAATATTATATATCCGTGATCTCAAATATATGTATGTATATATAATTACGAACTCTAAACAATAGCGAACAAATAGCAGGATAAAAGTAGTTCCCTTTAAAAATACATCTGCTTTTCCTTAAACGTATTATTCTAACCTCTATTTCATTTACATACGCAGTACGTTGATCGAAAGAACAACAAGAAAATTAATCTTTACGTTTATGCGCATTGAAAAGCCTCAAGTATTATAATATGAAATCAAATAAGTTTGAGATTTTAAACAACTAAGTTCTATAAGAAAAATTCTTCAAAAGATAGGATGAAACGTTTTAAAACGTTGGTGGAATGTAGAGGGCTATGAGAGACAAACAGAAATGGTGAGAGAGAGAGAGAGAGCGAGAGAGAGAGAGACAGCGAGAGAGAGAGAGAGAGCGAGAGAGAGAGAAAGAGAGAGGAAGAGGAAGATAGAAAGAGTAGGAGGGAGAGGGAGAGGAAGGGAGAGGCAGAGAGAAAAAGAGAGAGAAAGGGTAATATAACGGAAGAAAAAAAGAAGAAGAATAGAGAAAGCAAGAAAAGAAATCAAAATTGTTAACATACAAGAGACGGGCTGTGTTGCTGCATAAGAAGGAAAGAGAAAAATTTATTGACTTGGTATCTCATATCCTCGTATTCCGAGAATGACGTGTCAATTTTCCCCGCAGGGTAGTGCGTATACGTTCTGATTGGCGAATGATGTGATCAGATGTGTATTGATTGGTCGCCGATGACGTAGAACGTCCATAAACAGGTTGAGAGCGTGCGTAGCGCCATCCTGTGACGTGGTATGAGACGAGTCTAGGATTTCATCTGTGACTACTCGCATTCCGTGAAGGAAGAGCAGAGAGAGACGTACATCTTTTTTTCAAAAGATACAAAATCGCTGTTCTTTCTTTCGTACGACATTGGTTCGAGTTTATCTACGTCATCGTGATTAAAGAAGAAAGAAGAAATCGACAGAGAAAATAAAAAATCTCGTTCTGCGATCGAGCTGCTGTAAATACTCTGGGCATATTAAAATTTGTTCTTTTTACGTTCTAAGTGGAAGCCGCAACTACGTTTATCGTATCCGGGAGGGTGAGTGTTGTTTTTCGTGCCAACTACGTTTCACCTACGCTTCTCTTTTGATCCATTGTATACGTTGCAACAAACACGTTATATAATTACAACATCTTGACGTCTCTACGATTAATTTCGATCATTTCGATGCTTTTCAGAAGCAAACGATCAGCCGCGACGTAGTAGTGGCCTGGTCCTTCGTGAATCGATCGGACGACGATACATCAGCCGTAGTGCATAACTTGTGTGAAAAATCTTGAAAAAAGTTTCTTCATTTGAGATTGTTCGAAGGTTTGCCGAACGTTTTTTTTTTTTTTGTACTTTTCCATTAGCAAGTGAAAAATTTATTTTTTTTTTGTTTATCGATTCGAACAGAGTTAGAGGCATGATGTAACGTAATTCTCTTGAAAATGTAGTCACATGTCGCGCTTTGGATTACGTAATCTACTTATAATCTCGTAGAAATAACGTTTTACCGTGATAGCATGAATTTATTGTTTTGACTAAAAATTCTTTGAAAAATTGCTTCTTCGATAATCGTAAATGTTTATCGTGTTAACTGGTTGACGACGAATATACATATTATCTTATTCTTTATTTCTGTATTTCTGCTTTTATAGAATTTGTCTATAAAGCTCGGTGAAAGGTACGTTAATATAATTGATCGCGATACGATAGAATTTATAATCTTTTGATAATTTTCTTGGTATCTTTGATATCAAGTTGTTGTTCCATAAAAATTATTTATTTAACTGGCTGATAAAGATCAAGTAGAATTTTTTGATATCAAAGAATCTTCATGTTATAATATTATTATTATTATAATGATTATATTGAAGTGACTGCATTGCGCTATTTGTATGATTCCTGCTACTCAATAGATAAGGATAATGTTATATAAATCAAAGTGCCAAGTTGAATCACTAGTTCATAAGTCCATCAGCATTAATCTTTTATTATAATGTATAATATGATATTTGAAGAAAATTTTGTTTCAGGCCTTAAAAATCCCTCCTATTTTCGAAAGTACAACAACCAGCAACATTTCATTTGAGGAAGGAGGCGTAAATAACGTAAGTTATCCTTTCTTGTTGCATTTGGATTTTAAATGGAAGAAAGAAAAAAATGGATGGAGATTACGTTTGTACTGGAACCTTGCAAGTTCTTAGATTCCACGGACAAATAAATTTTAGGTTCCTAAGCCATGCAGCCGTCTGCCGCATCCATCATCTGTTTCTCGTGGCGTGAGATCGCGGCCACTGGAGGAAGAAGTTGTAACCCATACAAAGGTGGAAACTATTCCTCTGCTAAGTCCAACAATGGAGTCAAATTTATTCAAGGAGACCTGGATTTTCCCTCGTGTCAAAACAAAAACACCAGCGGAGGAAGACAGTGTTACAACATTTCCCGATTGGGAAGAGAACTTTCAGGATTTAAGCGATTGGTGCATGGACCCATTCCAGACTCCATGCGATTTTCCTATAGGTGAATTGGTTCCTTTTAAACTATCAGGTAAGTTAGTTCACGAAATATATTCTCTCGTGATCAACAATTGATGCTGAATTCTTGTAAAGTCAAAATTCAATTCTCTTTAGGTACTAAATACGAGGGTAAGGGCGTTTTGAATTTGGGAAAGGGGGTATCAGAGAACACGACGAGGGGGGTAAATGAAGAAAAAGGGAAGTTAAGAATGAATTCGTTTGGTGATATGGAGCTTTCAGGTAGCAAACATCAACCATTGTTGCCTTCATCAAACTCAACTTTTGACTGCAAAAAAGAACTCAATGAAGCAGAATATAATGGATCAAATACATTGTTAAAATTACCTAAAGCAAGTACCAGTGCTGCAAATAGCAAGATGAGCATTTCCGATGTTAATATACCATTTAATTCTCACGAACGCATAGGCAATCTTGATTTGGATGATGCTTGCCATAGTACCTTTGAATCTACAGAAAATAATCAGCCTGAAACATGGGATATGTTACATACAGTTCAAACTGGATCGGATACATTTGATTTACTATCATATCTTTGCGAAGTGAGTATATTAGCTATATTCTAGATTTCATTAATAAAAATATAACAAATAGTATTTCGTAAATTCATTAAAATTTATCATAACTTGCAGGATGAAGCATATTCGCCGGGAGGTAGCACATCTACAGACACTTCAACGATATTCAATTCAAGATCGCCCATCCTACCAACAGTTTTACAGAATGCTGAGGAAGCAGTTGAGACGGAGACGAAAGTCAATAAAATTCGTCGGATAACACGATCAACTTCAACGGTAACATCATCTTCATCAGACACTTTGCCAATTTCATCGCGAAGATCCGGAAGAACGAGAACGATAATAAATAGTAACAAAGTAGATAACAAATATTCCAATGGAAAACGGGAAAAACGAAAACGATCCGCCGAAGATATTGCTTTGGATACACGAGTAGATACTTTTAGTTACAGAGAATCTAGAGAAAAAAATAATGAAGCTTCAAGAAAATCACGAATGAATAAGAAAGCAAAAGAAACGGAAATGGCATTAAGAGCAATCGAACTTGAAAAGGATAATAGGATATTAAAAATGAAAGTCGAAGAACTTGAAAAATTGGTAATATCTATGCGGAATGCTTTATTGAAGTCCGCTTTAAAGAAGGAGAATTGAATATTTGATCTTTTACAAGTAGACTTTGTCTTATTGCACTTTCTTTTTATTTTTTTTTTTTTTTTATTTTGTACTTTTTACATTGTTATATTGTTTTTAATGTTATTTGTTAACATTGAAATATTTTTATAATCAATGGGAATTTCTGGGATAGATTGTTAATATATTCTTTTTAATTTTAATAAAATATACGCATGGTATGAATGATGTCAACATATTTTATAATTTAAAAGTATGATTTATATCTTAGAAAATGTGATTTAATATTTTAATTGAGCACGACGCACCGAGCACGCCTTTGGGAATCATTTAAAATTAGTGCTTTAGGCATGTAATAATATTATAATGTTTTAGTAGTTTAAGTGAATTTCATGATCTTTAGAAACATTATCACTTAAAAGGAAATAAAAGCAAGTTTCGTACGTACGGCAAAGTTTTCCGTTCGATTTTAATCAGAACAAAATCACAATCACGGTTTGTTCAGCCTTGTATTGTACCTGATAAAAGAATATATATATGTATATATATATTTATATATATATATATATTTATATATGTATATATATATTATATATATATATATATAATATATATATATAAACAATGATCGATGATAGAGTAGCTTCAGATCGATAAACATTTGTTTTGATTGTGCGAATATTACAATAGTTGCACGATGTAAATGTGTAAGAAGCATGTAATAAAGAATTTATTTTAAAAAGATATTTCACGTGCACATAAGAATTATATGACCGATTATAAAAAAAAAAATGTAAACCAACTGCATGAAAGAAAAATCTTTTTATTCTATATAACATGTATATATATATATGTCTAAAATAATCAAATCCTAGTGGGGAAATATATTTTCCATGATAAAATCTTATTCAACAATGTAATCAGAAATTTTTAATTTATCCTATACATAGATTGTTATATAAGTTTTGTTAGTCACTTTAAGGATGTCTTATATATTTTCAAATCTGATCATAATCACATAAGAGATCTTGCATCGCGGGGAAGTTAGGCTACGTTAAAATGCATATGATGTAATAAATATTTCTTAGTGATTTTATAAATGTAATTAAAATTAAATTACATTGTAATACTCGTTAAGGTTTTTACAAAAAATGTAGCCTCTTTTAAGAAATCGATATCTTTTTCGCGATAAGAACGATAAGAGATTATCATTTAACAGATAACACAGTACCTAAGGTAAATGTCTCGTAAGTTATTTACGAACACGGATGATTCAACATATCTTCGAGAGAATCAGCCAACAAAATATTACTTTCTATAGATTTATTAGATATTTTGATAGAATTCAAAAGAATTAGATACGCAATAAAATATATTTCTTTTGCTATTATAAATCTATTGATCAGGTTAAAAAAATTGAAATGAAATACATTTCAAAATTTCAAATGGATACGCCCGTATGAATGATACCCGCATAGACTAATAAACATGCGACATGTAATTTTACTAATACCCGCATTAAGATCGAATCTTATTCTGACCAGCATAAGTATGTTTCAAAATGAAAGTGAATGAATCGATCGCTTTTATATTATAGATAAATGTGTCATTGGAAAAATTACTTTCAAATATATTAATGCAAATGAGATGATTAAAACTTTTCGTAAAGAGTTTATGATGGAAAATTTGAAATTTTTTTAAAAAAGACGAAAGAAACAAAAGAAAAATTGATTATTTTAACTAATATTTCTCATTATGTGAATTCAATGAGAAAAAAAGAATACCTCCCTTGAATTTCGTTTCAGAAAAAAGAAAATAATAAAGGACGATAACGATTGGTCGTTAGGAAAGTCAAAGATGAACGATGATTGGCCGATAACACGTAAGTCGGCACGTCGCAGCGAACATCTAACAGGTGGTCGTATGCTATTGGTCGATTAGCACGAACGGTAGTGCTGCGGTACTAGGCAACACGTGCGCGCGCTTAGAGGCGCATTCGCGGCGGCAAAGTACGTGGAGGCGGGTGCGTCCGTGTTCGCCCTATCCTCTCACCCTCCTCCCGTTGATCCTCTTTCTCGTTCATAGTAAGTTAGTCTATTGACGTTACTCAGAACGGTGATACGCCATTAGGAAACGAAAAACGCGTGTCTTACTTCTCTGTCTGTATAGCTTTAGGCGTGTTAAGAAAAAATTAAGAAATAAAAGGAGAAGGAAGAGTAGAAAAATAAGGAGAAAGAGAAAGAGGAGAGGTGGAGGAAGAGAAGGAGGAGAAGAGAGAAAGAGAGAGAGAGAGAGAGAGAGAGAAATAGTAAGGAGGTTTCACATCCAATTGGCGCCGTCTTTACCAGTTACAGAACAGTCATTCGCGGCGCGCTGATTCCAAGAGCGACGGACGACGGATCGATCATATCTGTTTTCACGCAACCTCTACGAGAATTCACCCGCGCCATCCGTAACCATCTCTCCTTCCCCTCCCCTTCCTTTCCCCTACCCGTTGTTTTTTTTCTTTTTTCTTTTTTCTCTCTTTCATCGTTTCCCCCTCTCCTTAGAAAAACAGACCGGCGCCTTCGTCCTTTCGATCGGTCTTTCCCGTCTTATCGTTCTTCTAACATTCCTCCCCGTGCGTTCGCGTCCCTCCATCTGGAGGATTCGTATCATCTATTTAAAAAAAAGGGCAAAGATTCGCAAGAGGATATCCCGTGCGCGTATTTCGGTGAGTATTATACGTGCGATAGTTTAAAGATCTTATTGAATTTTCTTTCATCGTTGAGATAAATCGAAAAGTATAGTGAAAGGTGTACCGTCTGGATATTCTCTCTTGGGTTATTCTGCACGTGCCCGCGTGCGCGCGCGCACACCCGCGAAATCTCCGTATCCGAGTGAGTGAAAGATAAAGAGATAGAGATAAACACACAGAGAGAGAGAGAGAGAGAGAGAGAGAGAGAGAGAGAGAGAGAGAGAGAGAGAGAGAGAGAGAGAGAGAGAGAAAGAAAGAGAGAGATAAATAGAGAGATAGATAAATAGAGAGAAAGGGAATAGTTTGCAGAGTACATACGTATGTACCATCTGGTGGTATCGTATCCGATGCGAATCTGCCTGTACCACCCTCTCGTATTACCTCCCACCTCCCACTCTTCCACCTCTCTCGATTTCTCGACAGAATCCATTCGCGAATTTGACGATGTTACTTTAAATCTTCTCGCGAGCATCGTACTACGTACTACATACATACATATGTGATGATATTATTACAAAGGACCGCGATTTAAAACGCGATTACTGTTCTTGGAAAAAGGAGAATATATTTGTTTCGAGTGGCAACGAGATAACCTAGCGATGTTGATAACACGTAGTAATCCGTTATATTCTGGTACCAAGGTGTTACGGTAATGTATCTTGTATTGTGTTGCTCCTATTTATCAATGTATGTATACATATATATATACATATATATATATATACATATATATATATACATATATATATACCATTTGTAAATATGTATTTACACGTACGTTTTATTCTATGTTAGATCGTAAGAAATTATTGAATTAAGATCATGTATGTATATTCTTTCTGGAAGGATATTCACCGTTACAATCGAGAATAATTTACAATCAGTTTCTCGTCGATATGCCAAGAACGAATCGTCTTCTCTTGCGCATACACTTCGGTCACCGTCCACGACTCTCGCACGTTGACCTTTTTCTCTGCTACCGAACGGATGAACGCGCACCTCTGTCCGTCGTCAGTGCTCCGACAAGTGCGAAGTGTTATATATATATATATATATTTTTTTTTTTTTGAATAGAGTGGGGTGATAAGGGATGAATTGGTACAGGCAAACATTGATTGTTTACATCGTATTTAAATAAATATTTACGGGAATTAACTCGATTGTTCTTTTTTTTTTTCTTGCTCACGTTTCCTCTTTTCTTTTTTTTTACTGTTTTTTTTTTTTTTTTTTTTTTTCTAATCTCTTTCGATACACGTAGTACGTATGTATGTATATTCTATTGAAGCGAACGAACGCGTTCTCACGTGGAACGAACTTGTCATTCTTCAGTGATTATAATAAACGAGTTGCATCGGGAGGAAATGTGCTCGCATCTCCGTTAAGCCAGATCGAAGAGGGAAAAAGATATAAGATTATAGTATTTAACATATTCCTGACCGCAATATTTTTTTTAGATTTCTTAAGTTACTTATAGAGAAATAGCCGATGACGAAAATGTCGAAATGGTTTTTCCTCATCGTTCATTTTTCTTCTTTTTCTTTCCTTTATTTTATCATTTTCCCGCGCTTAGCAATTGTTATTTTTGAATTATTATCAGCTCTCGATCGGTCATTAATTAATCAAGCGGGCTTTTCTTTTTCTTTTTTTCTACGTGGAAAAAAAGATAAAAGGATAATGAAAATCGTGATTTATTTACCGTACAAGAGAAACTTCCGATGAGGTTATGTACATCGTAAAACTCCGACTTTTGTTATGCTCTTGTTACGTATTCCATTTTAAGACCACCCCCATACTACCCCTTCTTCTATTCTTCTCTCGTTTATTCTACGACGGATTGAAAAGGCATCGTATCGTACTTAACCTATAAAAGATGGATCCATTGATCTCGTTACAACGCATTACGATTTGTCTCGACGCAATACTTGTTATATTGAACGATGAAAATACATAAATAAAATTTATTTTCATGCGATTTTCAAAATTTTTATTTTCTCGTGAAAATATTACAAAGTAAGTTGTCAGACATTCAAATGTTGTCGAAAGTTTCTATAAATTCTAATTAATGTAATAAATTATTTCAATGATATTTATGTAGTAAATTATCAAATATTATATATATATATATATATGTATATATATATATATATATAATATTTACGAGATATTTTCGTTCTTGCGTATGACGATAATTGTGTAATCATTCTAATCTATATTTTATTATAATATCCTGATTGATTTCAACATAGCCAATAAGACGGATCTAGGTAGAAATCTTTCTCTCTCTCTCTCTCTCTTTCTCTTTTTTCTCTCTCCCTCTCTCTCTCTCTTTCTCTTTCTTTCTCTCTTGCTCTCTCTCTCTCTCTCTCTCTCTCTCTCTCTCTCTCTCTCTCTCTCTCTCTCTCTTCTTTCTCTCTCTATTTCTGTTTATCTATTTATCTATATCTCTGTCTTTATCTCTTAGAAAGATATGTGACTTCGAAACTTCTTCATTTATATGATTTTTATTGAATGTTTTATTTTGAATTTTAATGTTTTTTTTCTTGTTAATTTACAGATACCGTTGGAAAGTATCGATATCCTTTCAAGGAGAATCACGATGCTCGTGGTTTGAAGTTATAAACGGCGTCAATGAGCATTCAAGTATGTACGATTGATTGAGGACAGTGAACACACCGGGAGATCGGAGAAAGATCAGCGAATAGAAGAGACGGCCATCATGGAATTCTACGACGTGGGAAGCAGCGATCTCAGGGAGTTGTGGGAGTCTTACCTCACAGAACCAGTGAGTCTCTTGGCCTTTATATGCCATTTTTATTCCTTCGAAAAAGCTAAATCTCAGAAAAATAATAATTAAACGCAAAACACTTTTTCTATGATCATGACCGTAACATTTTTTCAATTTCAATTTTATGTACCATTTAAAATGACGGAAACAGAATAAATATGTCATATTGTGATCTTTCACTCGGCAAATATTTTTTCCTTTCTGTTTTCTTTTTTTTTTTTATTTATTTTTTATTTATTTATGTTTTTTTTTTCTTGTGTTTATTTTAGATATATGCGTCATCGTAATTATTTCTAGTAACATTTTTATTTTTATTCTAAAAATAATTCGTACATTCGTTTTCCTTTGGATTTATTTTTTCTTCTTAGAAATCTATATTAGATAATATACGATTAAATTCTCTTACGACGATTATAATATATCTTTCGTTATCGTTACGACCTTGGGTTTTGATCCAACATCCAAATTGATTCAAATATCGAGAACAATACGATATTAATCGATTACCACCTATGTACATATATATATATATATATGTATATAAGTTTGTATCAAAGTGAACGTAACGATCTTTCGGTACATCTGTGTGCGCGTGCGTGAGTGCGCGCGCGTATGTACGAGCTTAACGAAGTGTACCAAGAACGATAGCATTTCTTTGAAATGTTTTACTTTTTATTCAGACAATGAATTACTTCTTATTTATAAATGTTAGAATGAACTGTATCTCGTCCGGTAGTGTACGGTAGTAGTTCGTAGTAATGCGTAATTAACGAGCGTTTCTTTCGAACGTCATAACAGTACTTTTGAAATACATATATGTACATTTATATTTACCACATTTAAAATTTGGTACGTATACGAAAGCGATATGCACGATTCTTACGACATTTCATATTTTCCCGCCTTTCGAGGTGCACTTGGCGCACATTTTTATATTCCATCGTCTTTACATTACGTCCGATGTGACGTATGTATGTACATTGTACATACTTAACTATTTATAGTCATTTATTTTTTTGATCATTATTAATTGTCCATTCATTGTGAACTAATACTAATACCTACGTTATCTTTTTCTTTCTTTTTTCTTTTCGTGTCTACACTTTGCTAAAAAGAAATGCGACCATTAAATATGTTGTATAATGATCTAATTCCTTCTTTAATTATAAATAATATGATTATTAACAAATAAATTTTATTTTCTTAACATTAGGATAAATATTTTTTTTACCTCTATACAGTCATGTAATAGTTTTTAAACGTTTTCATATTTCTTATTCATTAATGGTAATAAATTCTGAATCGTTAAGAACGATTTTTCTGTGTTCCATTGGTTTTTTTTTTTTTATATTTCTCCAAAGGAATTATCATCCTCGATAAATGTTACGTTACAAAACGAAGTATTACTTTTTATTATAAATGTAATTTTAACATATCTCTACTGAGAAAGGGATGGAGAGAGGGAAAAAGAGAAAGAGAGAGAGAGATAGAGAAAATGGCATGTGAAGTAGCTGTTCCTTTATACTTCACTTAATCTTTGCAAATATTATGAGATGAATATTCGTACAAAAAACGAATAGGATGATAAGGAGAAAGAAGAAGGGATGGAAGAAATAATGACTTTATATAATATATCGATACGGTCATGTTCAATGTTTAGAACAACTTCTTCGTACACCTGTACAAATAATTTCCCTCTTCCAATTAATCGTACTCGGTTGGTTTTTTTCGTAAAGTCTGAACGAAACAGATGAACTTTATTTATTTTTAGATCTATACGTGTAAATATACATTTAAGTACAGAGAGAAACAAAGATGAATTAAATATATTAAATATAAGATATCGAAAAATTCAAGTAATCAAAAGAGTGCATAATCATTTTCGAGTGTTTCTCTTTAAGAAACAAATTTTTTTTTCTTTTATTAATTTTTTTTTTTTTTTTTTTTTTTTTTTTTTTTTTTAATACTTACGATATTCGTCTCTTCGAAATATTTCGATTTATCTTCGAAATTTTTTAAATGTTCTATTAGCTATTACGAAATACACGAACACATATGTTTTTTATTTACTTTGATCCATCATTTATCTGTTTAGATTTTTGTTATCAGTAGTTAGACTTTGTTATAAATGTATCTTCTTATGTAATTTACATTTGTTGATTATCGTTTGCATTAGTAGTTCGTTAATAATCTTTTTCAAGAAGTCTTTGTTAATTGTACAATTCTTTTCTAATATTTATTACGTCCTTTTCATTTCCGAAGATTTTTTATTTCTTTTTTTTTCTTTTTTCTATTTTTATATCTTTGTCACTTTCTTTCTCTCTATCATATACGAGAAAATAAATGGTATTATCACTTTTGATTATCGTTGGTTAATACTCGACTAATAATATATCGCGACGTACTAGTAACAAGTAGAAGGAAGTTCATCATTGCATTATAATCGAAATTGAAAGCTGTTTGGCGTCTGCATACTAAATTATCGTGCGTCATCGTATTTGGGGAGTCAATTCCCTTCTTGAATAATTACGTCATCGACCGCCGAGGATTCGTTCTTATATCTCTATTTCTTTTCGTGTCCTCTCGCTATTGAAGCGACGTCTGTATTATATATACATGAAAAAGAGAGAGAGAGAGAGAGAGAGAGAGAGAGAGAGTGAGAGAGAGAGAGAGAGAGAGAGAGAGAGAGAGAGAGAGAGGAGAGAGAGAGAGAGAGAGAGAGAGAGAGAGAGACCCTATAATATATTATATACAAGTATATCTGGAATACAGATATAGTTTTTTTACAGAACTAATAAATGAATCTAATTTATACAATTTGTAATCTTTCGAATATAGAGTTGTATAATATCAATTTACAAGTATTTATTATAAATTATTTTCTGAAACTGAGTAGATGTATTATTGGTTACAAAATAGGATGAGAAGTATGAGAAGAAAGTATTGTCATAGATATTATAGAAAAGTTCCTAAATTATTTCAATTAAATTATACATTATAATAGATCGATCGTATTGGAGTAAGAAATTATTAAATAATTTATTAATCAATTCATTAATATGTAGAAATTAATTTAACGAATTTATTACGGATATTATAACAGCAGATTTATACGAGTACGTAGATGGAAAAAAGCATAGATTTGAAACGATTTAATCGATCGATATCGAATTCGTGAAAAAATAGTACGTAGGTTTAACTCTTTGATGAAAGCCGACTATCTGATTTAGCCTCCTCCGCACGACGATGCAAAGCAATTTACTTTCCTCTCTTTTTCTCTCTCGACAGATGTAAGCACTGACGTAAGCAGTAATGTCGATGACGATGTCCCATTACGTATCAAAGTGGAACATCTTTAAACTCTATTCTCATAAAATCTCGATTTTTGTCGTTCCATTTTCCTATATATACGTGTCAAAACAAATGACCTACGAAATCATTGTTATAAAATTATCAGATATTAACGAATGGGTTAAAAAAATATTTACACGTTATTTAATATCGAATAATATCATATAAATTAAATAAAAGGCTCTGAATTTTTTATTAGGTATAGAGAAATTAGTATGCTATATTATATTATTAATAATTGACAAATACAAGCAATATAATTTCTTTATAACAGCTTTATAAAGAATAGTTTGATATCGAATGTTTGATATCGAATATATTTGATATATTTATTTTGTACATCTGATTTTTAGATGCATTTTTATAAAAAATATTATCAATACAATTTTGACATCCGAGAATAACATTTGTTTAAATATAAAATGTCATATTACATTGTCAAAATCAATATTTTCTATATGTATTTGAAAATTCTGAGCCTCTTGGTAAGCTTATAAAAAGATCCAATCATTTATAGCTATTTTTAGCTGTCATACTCTATAGGCTTAACGAGTTTACAAAAAATACATTACATTTTTTTTTCTAAAGAAACTCCGTAAAATTCAATATAATGCAAACAGGTCGTATATAATTCAAGGATTTCATTGAAAGTTTGTTCTTTCACTTAAGCCTAACTTTAGAGTTTTATTCTCAGGAATTCCGAAGAAGAACGAGAGAAGATTCCGCGGTGGAATAATGAAATCGGTTTAAAGACGAAAACATCGTAGAAGAAGCGAAAGTAGGACGCTCGGAAAACTCACGGAAGAGATTTTTCACCTTTTCTTGAGAAGTTCGTTCAGCAGGTTACGGTATTCAAGTACTTAGAAAATGGTGTTGACGATAGGCAGGCTCTTTTCCTCTGTTTATCTATTTTTCTTAAGTGAAAATGAGTTCTCCCCTTCGCACGGCGTTAGAATATTTATCACAAGCCGATAACAAAAATCTTATCCTGCTGGTCGTTGAATTTTAAGTGACCGTCACTTTAGTGTATCTTTTTGATGTCACGTCAAAAAAAAAAAGAATCTCTTTCCGAGTTTAAAACTTTTTGATCATCATTTATGGAATATTAATTTTGATGATGTCATTAATCTGTTTATTGAGACGATTTTTGATTGGTTGATATGGACATAATTAATAGTTTAACTGATTAGAAACATAATTTAAACAAAAACTTTTCAAAATAAGATGAGAAAAAAAAGAGATATTTTAATTTGTTAAAACGATAATATTTTTTCATCGATGTGAATTTAGATGATAGGAAATTTATTTTTTAGTTTGAAATAAAATAACACGATTAAAGGTAGGAAGCTTTAAACATTGTATTAATAAAGTATAATAGTCTTTTCTTTTCTCTTTTTTTTTTTTTTTTCTTTTTTTTTCTTTAATAGGAATGAGAAATAAATGATTTATCTATTCTTCCAGCATGAAAGAAGTTTCTTCGTGACAAATTAATTAGTTTCTTCCGTTTAACAAGTAAAAGAACAAGATTTGAATGAAATTTTGGCTTCAATAAAAGAAAATAATGTCATTTTAAAGATTACACATTAGTTTTAAGTAATTTACTTTTAGATAAGACGTCAATTGGATTTGAATTTTAATATGTGGAT